TGTGTGTCTCACTTTATTGCCCCCCTGTATCTCATGCGGTGCCTCTGCAAGACCCTGAGCACCACACTGTGTCGTAGGCTTCAAGCTGATCCAACACCATGAGATGATGTCCTTTGTTTGCACGGGGGGTAATGTGGCCTGATGAACCTTGTGATTGCACTGCATTGTGGGAGGTTGTATACAGAATCATTACAGATGGAGCGTTGTTACTAGTTCTTTTTAACTTTTCTTCCTACTTTTAAGAAAAGAGGCAGACTTGAGATATGATGTCAAATTTTGCCCCATGTAAGGCAGAGTTGTTTTCCTCATCTGATTCCATCAGGATTCGAACTCATATCTGTTTATCAACAGTCAATGGGTGGACCATTCAGCCACATGGACTGGGTGAGCACTGATGGTAAATTTCATGTTGATCATGATCCAAGTTTAGATTGAAGAATATGCAGTCGAGCGGAGTGGAAAATGTTTGCGCATTTAGGCTCCTGCATTACGTGGGGATGGATTGAAGTGCTGTGTTGCATTCGGGGGCATGAGTTGAGTCGACACTTGCATTGTGTATCTGTTCTCGTATGCAGTACGCTAATAGAAGGCTCAGGTCAAAGGCCTGCCTGAACATATCCACAGGACTGTCTGTAGATTCCCTTTGTTTTTTTTTTGGTTTTTTTTTAACAACACGAGGCCCTTCTATTCTGGGGGGCATCAGTCCGGTTGTCTATTACCGGCAAGCATGAAGGTACAAATGACAGAGAGAGAACAAGAGACAGCCTTGCCCTTGTGGCACTAGACTCCTATGGAAGGGGGTGGCTGCTATGACTCGTCCCACCCCCCAAACCCTGTCCTTACTTCAGGGGTTCGTCTGCTGGCCGGGAAGATTGCTGGCAGCACGTAGTCACGTAGCAGAAGGATCCCAAAGGAGGCAGGGTGTGGGGGGGGCGTAAGTAGCAGTCTCTCAGGCCGCATGTGTCATAGTTTCCACACAAGCAGCCTTTTTCTTTTTTTTGAAAACAAGTGGACCCGCCGCAGCTACGCTGCGGTGAAGGACAATGACAAAACCATTTTGCGAAACACCCCAGCCATCAGTTGGACTCCATCTTTGCAATGTACCCCTACCGGACGCTGCCCAACTTTGCAAAATGCCAGCCAGTTGCCAACTTTTCGTAGGTGCAATTGCAAAAGGCCAAGAGAATTTGCACACCCACCTGACAGGGGCATATGCAATGACTTGCTGGTTCCAGGTTGCCTGTAGCCTCTCTCTAAAGAGGCTGTACCATAGGTAGGGACATATTTGTCATTTTGTTTGGCTGAGGGCTAACCGAGAGACCTACCTGTAAGGAAAATTTGTGAGGGACATATCTGTAAATATGGGAAAATATAGGCCCAGTACTAACTCGAATTTCCTACAGTCACCCTAACTGCGAATAGCAGACCCGGGCTACCCCTAGGACAGACAGGCCCTAAGGGCCTATGCTGATAGACGGTCCTATAGGGGCCGAAACAGAAACGGTACCGGTTGGTCAGTCAGTCCGGTCTAGGTTGAGTCTAGGCTAGGGTAGAGTATAGATAGGATGGGAACATCGGTCCTGGGCTTTTTGGCAGTTGACACTTCGTGGTGGAAGTTGCTGCGCATCCTGCATCAGGTCGTGGTGACTGATTCATGCGTGGGAGACCGCGGACATAGCCAGACCTTCGGAGCGCTGACCTGACTGGGGTCAACGCTGTCCGCTCTGCCTCTCTAAGAGTCAAAGCGGTCTGGGCTAGCAGAGGTCTGATGCGTCGGAGCACGTGGTGCACTGCTAACCCTCCTTAGGAGTAGGGTCCCAGTGGCGAGGCAGCAATAGCTGCATCTTCTTGGAGATCATAATCGTCTGGACTTCATCTTTATCAGAGATTGTTGGCGCTGGACTTTTTCTTCATCATTTGAGTGGCGATTGGCTTTGGGCGCCTGTTTCATACTGGCGCAGGCCACTGAGTTGGATGTTAGGGTGGCGCTGGGTGTTACCTGGGGTTCTGGTGCTATTTTTAGTTGTTCAGAGAGTGTGGGGTTGAGGCGCTACCCTTCTGAGGGCAGCGCAACAGGGTTCTGAGGTTATTCGGCTGAACGATGCTATGAGTTTAATAAATTGTGTTAATACTGTGTCTAAGTTGTGATCTCTTCAATGATTTCTGGCTGTGATATCTCGGTTGTCTTCTATGTATGATTGTTGGGACTTCTGTGGAGAGAATTCACTGTGTTGTGTATTCTGTCACTTCGCTCCTCTGAGTCTTACGCTGCGTTTCTTCTGTTGGGCGGTGTGGCGCTCCACTACCTCTCCCCTTTCCTTGTGTGCATGTATGGGCGTGTACGGGAGTTCCTGTGAGTGAGCATTGACAAAATTTCAACGGACAATCATGTTCATAACAGTTGGTATCGAAGCGGATCGGACCCAGACAGTGGCGAGATGATGGACTGAGGCAACCATCACTACCTGAGAGCTTCTGACGTTGGATTTCGTGGAGGAATCTCATCCTCAGTACCGCGCTCAGTAGGGTGGTGGTGAGGAGCGTGTGGAGGTCCGTATGACACAAAGATTGGTGGCGATTCAGTGCTCAGTGGCCTGGGAGGCACTGAGGGGCTATTTTTAGCCCAGGCATTGACTCTGCCAGTGGCGAGATACCAGGGGGTATGTCGAGTTCCAGATTCTGAGTGAGATTCAATGAATCTGACTAGTGGGGGTTGATCGTCATTGCAAAAGCTTCAGTATGACCAAGTTTCAGGAGATTTTGAACGTGGGAGCACCAGGAACTGTGAGTTGAAAAAGTTGGCGAGATGGTAGCCATAACCAGTTCAGCTTCTTCTGCAAGTGTTTTGCCCTGAAGTAATCTGTTTGACCCCCTTTCTGTCTCAAATTACATCTCTGACTGTTCTACAGTATTGCGATTCAGTACACACTGTGAATTGGATAGTTCAGGATTTATCTGTCAGTGATAATGGAATTCTGAATGTTGCGCTGCTATAGCCAGTGCATGGGGGAGCTAGGGTTTGTCATATCTTAGGTTCTGTCCGTCAGAATTTCAATCTGTCAGTTATCCTGAAATCGCAATTCAATATTGAGTTAGTGTCTGAAAGCGCTCTACTAGATTTGATGTTTTGAGTCAGTTACAGTGATATTTGTACTTCGCCTCACCCATAGTGGGGCATATAGGGTCCTACAGTGCCAGTGTCAGTAGTAGGAGTCTAAAAATAACTTTATCAGTAATTCGCCGCATCTTGGTTGACTGTTGGATTGCACCAGTCGCTACTTACTCTCTGAGCTATTCTAACCCTTCTACTAGGTTGCATCCTGTCTGACTATCTGACAGCGATTCTGGGGTTATTGCGCCCAGATGAGGGTTCTGGGTTGTGAATGAAAAATTGTAATCTGGTAGTAGTAGGAGTCTAAAAATAGCTTTATCAGTAATTCGCTGCATCTTGGTTGACTGTTGGATTGCACCAGTCGCTACTTACTCTCTGAGCTATTCTAACCCTTCTACTTACAGTCCTAGGTTGCATCTTGTCTGACTATCTGACAACAATTATGGGGTTATTGCACCCAAATGAGGGTTCTGGGTTGTGAATGAAAAATTGTAATCTGGTTTTATTTGGGGGGCGCAGCGCGACCGGGAGCGATGCGCCCCGCCTATCTCACTGGCGGGCTATGGAGAAGTGGGTAAGTATGGACAGTGCATGGCGATGAAAGGCGATCGGGCGCAGCAGCGAGTGGCGAGGTGTGGAGGAAGGGGATACAGCGCATGGCGACGAAGGATAACAGGGAGCTGCGGCGAGTGGGGATGTGCAAGGGAATATGGTGTATGGCGATGAAGGAAGGGAGAGTGGTGATGGGTGAAAGGAGGAGGGTGGAGGGCAATGGGTTAGGGGTGGGCTCCACCGCCGGCTACAGTCGTAATCGCTGCGGGGCACTCGTGTCAAAAGGGGTAGTGGAGTGGTGTTGGCCATGAGATCGTCTCTCCCTTTTTCGTCAGCAGATAGGTAAGTGGATATAGATGGATGGTCGAACCCCCTGTGGCGCCTTACCAACAAGTTTGGTGAGATGGAGTCGCACTGTTTTCTAGTTTTCCCTCTGGAAAAGGAAGATGGCCGTCAAAGCCTTCGGTGCTAGCATTGCTTAGAGCAGGAGTGCTGGCGATGGGACGCAGCTCTCCTCCCCCGAAGGTGTTGGGGTAGGGTTTGAGGGGGTGTGGTAAGTTGGGGCCTGTTGATGGAAAAGGGAGAGGGATTAGTTTTGATTGGTTGTTTGAATGTTGACGATACAGCTCGCTGGTGACTTCCTATAGATAGGTTTTTCTTTTTTGTGTTCCGAACAGTCTGATTACAAATCTGAAATATTTTCCGTAGAATTTTTTGTCGGATAAATCAATGGGGAATTTACGTAGTATTGGTTTGCTAACACTTCTCAATGATAATTCGCATAACTGTTAAAATCCAGGAATGGTTTTCTGTTTAATAATCTCCTAATTTTGGTCTGAACGATTCTTGAACCTTGGGTTCTGGAATCAGCATCGAAAGTCCGTCTGGACATCCAAATTGATTTCTAATTTGTTTGATTTCTGATTCGTCTCTCTATTTGGTGTCTTAAAGTATCGTGAGTCCGGTTTTGGACATTTTAGATAGTCTCTAAATTTTGGTCTGGTGGTTTAAGATTCACGAGTGGGGATCGAGGGACCTTCTAATTGATTCTATTTTCAAAATTTTTAAAAGCTTTCGAAGTAATTTTCTATTTTAGAAAATTCATGGTTGTAAGCCCTATTTTTCTAGTCTGTGGATTGATGGCTAGGGCTAGAAGGGCGGGGTGGGGTGACAGTGGTCGGTGCTGGAGCAGTGAGTTCACGCTCTGTAACCAGGGGGAGCTTGAGACCGTTGGAACTTGCTGAAGGAAGGCATAACTACCTTGCTCAATGTAGCCCTAACTTTTTAGTATGTGGATTGGTGGCTAGGGTTAGAAGGGCGGGGTGGGGTGATAATGGTCGGTGCTGGAGCAGTGAGTTCACGCTCTGTAACCAGGAGGAGCCTGAGACCATTGGAACTTGCCGAAGGAAGGCATAACTACCTTGCTCAACGTAGCTGATTGTCGGGATCTAGTTTGTGCTGCAAAGTTTGCCTGATTGTTGTATGAGTTTCTCGAATTTTTTTGAATTTCCGTAAGTGCGGGGAGGTTGGTTTGAGTAGGGTGTGCACGGTGCAGAGGTGGATTGATGGCTAGGGTGGTAGGTCAGTAGAAGGGCGGGGTGGGGTGACAATGGTCGGTGCTGGAGCAGTGAGTTCACGCTCTGTAACCAGTGGAGCTTGAGACCATTGGAACTTGCTGAAGGAGGGCATAACTACTTCGCTCAACGTACCTGAAGTCGGGGCAGTGACCCTGTAACCTGGGGGCTGTGCAGCTAGGGAAGTTGTCGAGGGAGGATGACACTTCCGATCTGCTAGAACAAGGTCGGTCGGATGGTACTGGGGCAGTTGGTGTTGCTCTGTTACCCTAGCGCAGGGGGGTATGAGATCTTGCGCGTTCTGGCACGAGGACTGAATGCCTGGGCACTAAACTTTCCTCTGCGATGTGGGGAAAGAGCTGGATGGTGGGAGATATTTTTCATTTTTTTAGTAGTTCCTTGTTTCATTTTCATGGAATTTTCTGACGACTTTTTCTGAATGTAGTCATCATGGGACGCTGGGCCCGGTTCCGAGTTTGTGCCAATTAGTGAGGATATGGTTGTATCTATGGGACGCTGGACCCGGTTTCCAGTAGGTGTTGCTCCCCACCAATAGATGGAACTTTCTTCAAAAAAAAAAAAAAAAAAGGGGGTTGTCGTAAACTGACCTAGAACAACCCTCGGCAGCCTACAGAGGCTGAGCGCGCTTCTGCCCTTTACACCACGTCTCTTCTCATCAGGTGGCAGTGATTACATCACTGTGTATTGTAATCTTAATCTTTGCTGACCTTGTTTCTGTGTGTCTTTAATTATTTGACTGTGTGAGTGCAAGTAACCATGGTTGACGCCGAAACGAAGGTTGAGGAAGGAGAACCTTCTGCTAACCCTCCTCCAGTTCCTCTCTCCCCCCTGGAACAGGCCCTGCTTGAAGCGGAGGAAGCCCGCTTAAAGGCAGAGGCCCATATCTAGCGGTTGAAGCAGGTGATGGAGGAAGCTCAAGAGGCTAGCAGGAATGAGGAGAGGAGGAGACAATTACGCAAAGAAGTAGAGAAGGTTGTGGTTAGCGGAACTTCCAGTCAGTATAGTAAGAACACTACTGAGTTAGTGTTGCTGACAGACACTCTCAACAGGTCCTACTTCTCTAACTGGGACCAGTGGATACTCGCGCTCGAGACCCAAGGGTCTGCCATCGACCGCAAAGTCGATAAGTTGGCAGCAAGCCTTGAGTCTCTGACAGCGAGTGTTAACGGAATTCTGCAACATCTGCAACTTCCTGTTCCTCCTCCCCAACCTCTCCAACCTATCCCAAAACTTGGTTCACCATCCCACAGTCGACCAGCTTCACCTGCTGGTTCCCATGTGTCCACTACCTCTGCTCCCTCTGGCACATCTGATCAGCGGCAGCCCAAGCTAACGCCACCTCCTATGTAGTCTAGGGAAGACCCCAAGGTGGACGTTTCAGACTGGGTTACAGCGATGCAGGTGTATTTGGGCAACTTCGTTTGCCTAGAGGTTACAAAGGTAGGAACGATTCTGGGGCGATTGGAGAGGACTGCACTGAAATGGTGCACATCCTCTGCAGCGAAACAGAATATGCCCATGGACAAATGGGCACAACAGCTGAAGGTGGAAGGGTTGCTGCAGGCCCTGCGAGACCGGTTCGCAGACAAGGAGCAGGCCCGTAAGGCAGCAGATAAGATAATGTTGTTGGGCTCACGCAGGTTTCAGGGCTCTCTGTCCAAGCTCTACAGTTTGTTTGAGAGCTTGACTGCTACACCCGGTCTGGAGATGAGTGAGTCTGACCAGCTCACTCACTTCCTACGTGCAGCGCCTTGGACCTGGAGTCTCGGTTCAAGGTTCAGGAACCTTCTGATGGAAGGAGGAGGCCCTCCTCCAGGGGACAGCGTAGGAGGAAGGGTGCTCTATTGGCTGTTGAGTCAGGATTTGATACTGATGCATCTCAGCATGGCATCCCTCCAGCTGAGACTGCGGCAGCATCAGCAGTTGAGCCAGCCGTTCTTGCTCTGGCTGAGAATCTTGATGCAATGTTTAAAGGAAAGTTTGGTAACAGCAGCCGCAGGAGCTCAGCCAGCCAAAATGGGAAAGGGAAAGGACGTGCCACTTCCCCTCAGACTCAGAGACCTCACTTACCACGAGACGTCCATTGGCCAGTCAACCCCATGGATCATCTTTCTCATATGTAGAGTCCTGCAACTTCTTAACTTTGATCTTCTTACTCATGTGCTCCACTGGCTGCAGACCATGCCCACTGTCCTGCTGAAGTACCGCCCCAACCCCATACTGGCTAGCATCAGTAGTTAGTACGAAGGGCAAGGTAGGGTTAGGTAACTTCAGAACATGTGCACGCATCAAGGTCTCCTTAAGGCGTGTAAAAGCCTGTTGACAGTCTGATGTCCAAAGAAAGTGGGTGTCATTCTTTGTGAGGTCAGTCAGGGGCGCAGCAATAGCAGAAAAGTTTTTGACGAAACCCTTCCCTGGAGAGTGCTCAGGATCCAGGAGGGGCAATGGCAGAGGAGGAAGGACCGTGGACCACTTTCTGAAAGACTGTCCCCATATGCCTCGCAAGCCTGGATCTAGTTAAAAAAACTAGACCAGCAGAGGGACGTGGACTTCGCAACTCCCTCCACTTGTGCTGATTCAGATTCTGATGAGTTTGAATCTGCATCTACCCTCACTGACTCTGTTGGAGTTGTCGTGTCAGAATCCTTTACTTACATGGACCCTGACCTGGATGAGACGTGGCGGGAAGATGACGGTCAAACTTTTATAGATATTTTCCTGTCCTTGCAGGAAAAGAAAAAGCATAAATAAGACCTCATCTTGCTGCGACCCTCCATCCTGGAAGCCAGGATCAGAGGCCTCTTAGATTGTGGGTCTACACGGAACTTCATCTCTCCCAAGGTTGTCAACAAGCTGCATTTGGATGAGAGACTGGTGAAGTTGCAACAGCCATTGGAAGTCCGTATTGGGGACTCTTCCACAGTCCGGATTACCACTGTTGTCAAGGGCCTACCGGTGATCTTCGACAGGCAGGAGAAGGTCAGGCACCACCTGAACTTCTATGTTTTCCCCCATATGCCTTTTGATCTTGTCTTCTCCATGCAGTGGCTTGAGGCCACTAACACTAGGATCGACTGGCAGATCCCTAGAGTTGAGCTTCCTGACTGTAGAGGGGACTATCAGCCTTGTATATTGGCTGATGAGTACCATCCAGTCAGCAGTTGCTATTGCCTGAGAGCACATGAGTTCTTTCATCTCTCTCGCCAGACAACCCACACACGTTTGTTTATCGCATACGCCCAGGCTGGTGTGGATGCTGCTCCTTGTCCCCCACCAATTCAGCAGGTTTTGGACCGGTTCCCAAGCCTGATGCAGGAGCTGACTGGACTTGTCCACAGGCAGACCCAGCACAGGATTGAGCTCCTGCCAAATTCGGTCCCTCCCAAGGGTCATATCTATAGGATGTCCTGCTGAACTCGATGAGCTCAGGAGACAGCTTGAGACCCTGACCAGCAAGGGCTGGATTAGACTGAGCACTTCTAAATTTGGGGCTCCAATTCTCTTTGTTCCAAAGGGAAATGGAGAGTTCAGAATGCGTGTAGACTTTCGGGGTCTCAACAAAATCACTAGGAAGTCGACAGAGCCCCTTCCTAGGATTGATGATCTGTTGGACATGGTGCAGGGTTGCACGATTTTCAGCAAAACCGATCTCAAATCTGGCTACCACCACATTGAGATGGTTGAAGGCGATGTCCACAAGACCGCCTTCAAGAACAGATACGGTACTTATGAGTATCTGGTCATGCCTTTCAGTCTCTGCAATGCCCCTGGCACATTCCAGACAGAGATGCATCGCATACTCAGGCTTTACCTAGACAGATTTGTAGTTGTGTACCTGTATGACATCCTGGTATTCGGTCGATCTGTCGAGGAGCATGCGCAGCGTCTGGCTCTGGTTCTCCAGGCACTACATGAGGCTCAGTATAAGATCAACAGGGAACAGTCCTCCTTTGGAGTGACTTCTGTGACTTATCTGGGACATGTAATCTCTGGGGAAGGGCTGGCTCCTGAAGCAACTAAGGTTGCTGCGATTCAGGACTGGCCACAACCTACCACAGTACGTGATGTCCGGTCATTCTTGGGTCTTGCCTCCTACTACAGAAAGTTCGTCAAAAACTTTCCTGCTATTGTTGCGCCCCTGATTG